GATCTGAGTATGTGTGCTAAAGTTGGGATCGATTGGACAACGGGAACTGGACGACATTTGGATTACAAGATTAGACCACGGCATACAGAGGAATTAAGTTTAATAACTAGATTTGACAAGGGGAACAAGACGACATTTTTATTACAAGATTTGACGACGACATACAAACAGAGGAATGAAGTTTAAGAATTGTTTTTCACAATTTCGTTTAACTCACCATCGAGAAGTACATGATGCGGCGCCTGCTGCCACATCAACTCTTGCCTGATTTAATTGATTATTTTATAAATAAATCTGCCTGAGACACGTGGCGCCTGCTTCTTGGGCGAGACGATTCGAGAGTGTAGGGACCGCAGCGTTTTTGACCTACACAAATATATATAAATAATAAGGCTTCCATACAAAATGTTAAAAAGGAGCCAATTAATTGATTAATTGACAGCGATTATGATACAGGCATGCATTGTCACCGTAACTGAGTACGTGTGCAAAATTAGGGATTGATTGGACAACGGGAAGTGGACGAAATGTAGATTACAAGATTTGACCACGACACAGCTTTCAAGTTAAATAAAACCGTTGAAAAAGGAACCAGTTTTGCTGTACCCATTCAAGTGAGCTTAAACGAATTGATTGAAATGTAAAAAATAACCCTTTTCTACATATTTCCCTCACACGTTGTTTTGGTTGCCATCTTTTTTCTATTTTACTGCATGGAAGACAATTTAACCCTGAAAATGCAACCTGTCGATCAACTGTGGAGTGTGCCCAATTGTTCTTCTGGCTGAACAGAGGCGGGGGGATGTACAAATATTGCCAACTGTTTCAACTGCCGCATTTGGGGATCAACCTGCACCTCCAATTAGCACGGTTGGCTACGTACTGTGTGAAGGAAATTCAACATACATGAATACTAACCGACAACCTCTATATGTATTGCAAGTCCAGTATGTTAGCCATACACCACGGAAATATCAACCACATGGCAGCAATTTAAAATAGCAGCAGGTGGAAACTTTGGCTCTGGCAAAAAAAAAAATTCTTAACATGCTATGCTTCACTACTAAAACCCCTGATAAACATTTGCCTTTTAAACATGACTGATACGAGCTTAGTACTCGTGTACAAAGCACTGAAGAAATTAAACATGGTCCTAATCTATGCAGCATTTATTACCAGGCGGAACTATAACTGGCATAGTTAAAATTTTCCTACCAGCAAAGGATGTTTATTTTAAAAAATGGTAAAGATTTCGATTTAAAGCTTTCGTGACTGCAGGGATTCATCTTCTTGGTTCTTTCGGTAAAGTCACGTAGAATGCTTGTTGAAGACAGCGTCTTTCAGACGCTGTCTTTCCGACAGACCTGTTCTTTACCTGAGGACGGCTGCTTGCGTTGTGGCCGAAACGTCGTGAGAATTGTATTTTATTATGTTTTACTTTAATTATTTTATTATTTCCCTTCTACGTGACTTTACCGAAAGAACCAAGAAAATGGTCACGATGTCAATCAGAGGCCTGGTGTATGGTAATTTATGTTAATTTCCTTGTGTTGTTTTAAGTATTTAAATCATACTTCAACAAGCATGCTTGTGTAGTGATATGGAATGGGTCACTAGGGCGCGTAGTGCTGGTTGCTGGCAGAGAAGGGGATCTGCTGTTGTAGCAGCCCTGTCTGCCAGCAGGTCATGTGATAAGCCGGAGGAAGGGATGTGGGGCAAAGGTGATAGAGGGGGCACGTGAGGTAAAGCCCGGGAACCTTCTAGTAGGTTCTAGAAGGTGGTCGTGGCCGAAGGCAGAGCGAAACCACGCTGGGTGGATCAAAGGCGGACCCCGAGCAAGGTTCGGGGCTATTGTTGGAGTGGAACCCATCGTGCTTCTGGAGTCTTCGTCACCATCTTCACCTTCTCGGTGTTGTAGTCAGGCATCCTGTTAGCTGTCCTGACCATAGTGTAAGTTACTCCCTGTACCTGTGAAGGCTATAATGTGCCTCCTACTATTATTGTCTCTGAGGGACTCACTTGTAAGGATTTTCATGAACCAGGTGTATAACCATGCAGATAAAAGAACCGGAAAGGTATCCCTCGATTTCTGAACATTCGGTTTACGAAATTTGACGTTAATGCAATTGACACATTTTGGACACTTTTCGATTAACGAAATCGAATTTCCACATGAACAAAATTCCACGTGGTATGTACCTTGAAATCAAGCAAGAACCACCAAGGAGGCTGGGTCATGCATCCGCGACACCATCACGGTATCCCTCCAGTGCAACAATAACGCCTCCACATCACCTTTCCAGTCATTCCAACATGCAGATCTTTTGGTGAGTTCCCTGAAAAAGTTAATTATTTTTGTTTAAAATAAATTATTACTCAATTGCTTTAATATTCATGGTCTTTATTAGTATGTTGTGCTATGAGAAGTGATATAGATGCATATTTTAAGTTAGGAGTAGAGTTAGAATGTCTGTCAGAAATACATCCCAAATTTTTAGGATTAAATTAATGGGAAAGACCATTCCAATTTACGAGATTTCGTTTTACTCGTGTTTTTGTAAAGAATGTATCCCTTTCATAAATCGAGGGATACCTGTATCACAAAAAAATTAGACTTCGCATGGCTTTTCACATAAATTCACATGTATGTGCTATGAAGAAGTGTCACCCTCTTATATATTGCTCCTTTAAAGACAATATTGACGATTGTGCTGATTTTTTATTGCAATTATTAATACAACACTGAACTTAACAAAGCACGGTTTTAGTTGGGAGGGGTCTGAAAGTCCGATTTGTGTTGTTGCTTAGCCTGACTTAACTTGCATTGTGTCCTACAGACCCCACCATACACTGATGGTTAACTCCAGTCACTCAGAGGATGGAAGATTGCACAATTCTGAGGACTTGCTGGTGAATAGGCTATGTCGGAGCGTCATCTAGTGGTCAAAAATATTATTTCTGAAAGATAAAAAATTACAGTTCTGTTTTGGATATGAATGATCCGTAAAGATACATTACAGTATTTGCTGCAGAGCATTTTCACGTTGGGTTTTTGTATACTCGAGTGAGTAAGTCATTAGCTCAATGATTTGTTTGCAGAATTAAGTGAAGATGTTTACTCACATTAAGTTTGCCAAATGCAATCAATTACATTATCATGTTTGAAGTACAGTACTGCACATTGCAATGTTATGTAATTATGTTGTACTGCAGGAGAAAAAAAATGTATTTTAAATATCTTACGAGTAGAATAGAGTTATTATTGGAGTGAACAATCACTGTCAGTGCATGTACCAAAAATAAGTTTTCTTTAACGGCTGACACCAAAGTATACAGTATGATAATTCTACATTACCAGTCGTTATGCATGGAACTGTGTATTAAACAAATCAAATACAATCAAAATCCATGATGAGGAATTCAAATTCACGAGTTTATTCCATGAACAACAGTGTTGCTAGAGCATTCCTCATGCATGCGAGTGCCATCATAACACGCTCCAGGACATCGCAGTGTTTGATTACATTGTTTTTCTCGTGTGTTTAGCAGGTAATACTGGAACGTAACGTGGAATTGCAAAGCCAATGTGCAAATATACTTCCTTCGGGGAGTTATAAGGGTGTTATTAAAGACCGAAGTGTGTTGGATAATGAAGTATGCATAGCATTACAAGTGTCATCTGGAAATATCGTTCTAATATTGTTAGTCTTACTCCATCGCGTCTGGGTGTACGTGTACCTGGGAGGCGGAGTCATGAAATCAGCTTCATATAGCAGTAAATCAAATATGGTTGATGATTAAACCATTTAGGCAGTGAAAAACATGCCTGCCCCATTAGCACGGTGCTTTACACTCTACGCACACAATGATACTTCGACCCACACCAGCTTGAGTTGAATAGTGGTGTACATTTTAAACTGCCCCAATGCCATCCATGTTCATTCTCCCTCTAACCAGGCCTGCTCGTGTTGCAGCTACCTTGTGTCTCAACTATTTCAGATGTTCATCGGGTTACTCCTGAAGCCGTCTCCTGGCTCACCAACCTCTCTCTCTACATGAACATATAAACGTGGCTGATCAACTCCCTGCCACATGGAGGAAGTGTGTAAACCAGGCCGAAATTACAACACCGCACCACCACGATGGCGTGTAACTCTTGTGGCCAGATCTACTCACCCTAGCACATGGTCACATCTCGCGGATTGGCTGACTCAGCAGTTGTATGTCTAATTCATAGGGGGCCTAGCAAGGTCAGCCGCCTTCCTTCAGGACAAAAAAAAACACCGTCTAATAGGTGAATACGTCCCTCCCTGCAGTGTTTTCGTCATTCCCCATTTCATACACGGGCTCTGCCCATTATTAAACTCGACATGTCCCCCTTGGCGCTGTTGTTTATATTGAGCACACTTGTCTCAAACTGAATATATTGAGTGCAAACCCGTTCGGTTGGTCGACTCGCCATTACACCGTGCAAAGTTAACATGCGTCATGAATTGCCCTATGTCAAATGAAGAGACTGAGCCCGCCATGGGAATGTGTAATTTCCCGCAGTGTCTCAGCACCGCTAACGACGGCGACAAGCCACGGGGCTTTTCGGCAGGGGAGACGTTATCTGAACGTGCTGTCTGTCCATGCGATGTCCATCTTGACCTTTCACCGCCACGAGTTCCAGCCGAGACGAGACGGGGCATGGCTTTGGGGGAAGCGTTTGGGCAGGCGCTTTACCAATAAGCTGAATGAAAGTGATCATTCGAGTTGGGGTTTTGGCCAGCCTCGAGTGGTGACCACGCTGATCGGAGCAAAGCGTCAGTGACGAGGAAGATGAAGAGGACAATGAGGGGGGAGGAGTGGCCGTGGCAGGGGGAGGAGCACCAGCAGCAGGAGGAGCAGGAGGAGGGTGCGGCTCGGGGACGGGGGGGAGGCCACTGCACGGACGGGGTCCTCGGTTCATTACAGCGACACGGCCCTGCCCACTCACCCACTGCCCACCCACCCACCCACTGCCCCCACCCCTCCCGACTGCCCCCAGCGCCCCGCGTCCAGCGTCTCCCCCCCGGGCCGAGCAGAGACCCCCCCCCCCGCCACCCCCCGAGGCCACCACGACCGGGGCGACGGCAGGAGGCGCACGGCGGCCGGGCAGGCGGGTCGGTCCATCCCACCCCACCCGCCCTCCTACTTCTACTCCTCCTCCTCCTGCTGCCGCTGCTGCTTATCATCTCTCCCTCCTCTTTCTCACCATCATCCTTCAATCTCCTCGCCTGCTCGCAGCTCCCTCCTCCCCGTCGTGGAGGTTTGGGGCCGTTGTTTGCTGCTGTTTTGTGTTGAGTGAGAGACGTCGTGGGGGGGGGGGGAGGTGTGCGGGGCCTTAGCCGGCCGACGAGGAAGGCGACGGCGGCGGTGGTTCTGTGATGGACCCCCCCCCCCCCCGTCGTCGTCGTCGTGTGTATCCCCGACACCCAAACCCAACCCCCCCGGTGGTCACTGTGTTTGTCTCTTCTCGCTTTCGTGCGGTGTGCGACATGCGTCGTCGTTGTCAGTCACGAGTGTGGAGGAGTAAAGGGCCCGGGGTTGGACGTGGGTGGTGGAGGTGGTGGTGGTGGAGGTGGTGGGGGGAGAGAGAGAATGGCAACAAGTTGCGAGCGACCGATGCTTTCACTTTCGTGGCCGCGATCCCGCAAGGGCCCAGGATGGTGGAAGGTGGTCGTGGGGGGGGGGGAGATGGTGAAGGTGGAGTAGAGGTGGTAGTGGTGGTGGTGGTGAGCGCGGTGGAGGTCGAAGGAGAATGTGAATTCTTGTTGTTGAGAACCTCTTCCTGTTTAGAAGCTTCGTGATGGATACTGCGGGGGAGTTGGAGGCGGTCACCCTCCAGCGACAACGGAGGGAAGATGAGTGACGCTCACAACAACGAGCAGAGCGTCGTGCGGATAAAGCGAAGAGAGTTGGCTGAGAGGGGAGCACAGTTTGTGCATCTGCCGGTCATCTCAGTCAGTGAATTCAATGGAAGCTTGTGACCTGCGTCTCTCTCGTGACCTGACAGCGGGGCCTTTGACACCTCACTTGGCCTCGGTGCACCGAGCATGACACAAGCGGCGTGGCGAACGACGATTATGTTATGGTGGTTGAGGAGGTGATGGTTATGGTGGAGGTGGGGAGCAGGTGGTAAAGGAGGTAGCAAGGGTGGTGGAAGAGGAAGGGTGAGTGAGAAGGTGTAGCGAGTTTAAAGAGGTCGTAAGGTTAAGGTGGAGGAAGATAGTGGTTCCGGTGAAAGTGGTGGTGGTGGTGAGGCTGAAGATGGACGAGTTGGTGAAAGAGGAGGGTGGAAGAGGTTTTTAGAGTTTGGGTAGAGGTGGTGAAAGAGGTTGGGTTATGGTGGCGAGTTGTTAACTACCTCGCCTGGTATTCAGGGTTCGATCTCGACCCTGACGTCTGTATATTTGGAGTTTGCATGTTTTCCCCGTGGTCGCATGGATTTTCCTCTGGGTTTTCCCTTCACATTTAGAAACATACGTTTTGAGAATTTTGCTGATATACATGTCCACGTGATAAGCCACTTCGTTGAGCTTCTGAAAATTAGCTATATAGCTCGATGGGCCTTACCCGGTAAAATAAATAAGAAATAGTTTTGTTTCGTTGTTTAAATAGTTGTTGGGGTGAACGTGGTCGATGGAGATGATGGTTTCCAGGATGTGGTGGTGGTGATGCTGCTGGAAGGCGTTTATGTAGAGGGGGTCGAACTGCTCTTCATAAATATACTTCTTTAACTTATTTATCCAGGAAAACTACATTTACGCAGGACATTCCTGCATATTTTTATTTTAAGATGTTAGCCAATTCATGAGTGTATATGAACATGGAATGAAACCAACGCACCCTAAGAAAACTGTTGATAAATGTACTTATGAGGGAGCAACATTATCCCCATACAGATGGAAACATGACAATTCGTCCACTTGCTGTACTTCTATCTGGCAACCCAGGGTATAGCACCCCGACCCTGACGGGAAGGGAGTCTCACAACATTTGTGTGATCCATCAACCCTCACCTCCAAAGTGTTGTATTACAAGCATGGACCACTACTTCCTGGCTAACAGTGATGACGGTGCCACTGGAAGTTAAGGTGAAGGAGGTGGTGGTGGCAGAGATATGAAAGGAGGTATTTATGGTAGTGGATGGCAGCAGTGAAAATGAAGGTAGGACTTGTGAAGGTGGTAGTGGTGATGCTGGTCCTTACAGTTCCTAATTGAGCCTGGTTATTTTGTGAAAAGGTCTAGTGATTTTTGGTTTAACAACTGGACCTTTTTTACAGTCAATCCATTTACACAAAATGTAAATACCACAATCTGAGTGATGCTTCAATCCTATTCAAGAAAGGGTGAACACATTGACTTGAATTGATGATCCATTCACTCATTTTCGCATGTGCATTACTTGTTCGCGAAGATCAGTCAGAACAAAATGCTGTAATAGAAAAGGCTTCTCTACTATCCACTGCATACTGTCAGATTTTGGAACAGACTAATGAATACAAAACTACACTATGCCTAGCCTTTGTAGACTTTGATAGGCATTTGACTCTGGAAATTAATGCATTCATCCAAGCTCTGCCAAATGGAGATCTAAATAAATAAGTAAAAGAGAAAATACAAATAATTTACAAGAATGACAAAGGTGACAACATGCATATTAGAAGGGGAGTCAGGACAAGTATACATGCTTTTGCCAAAGTTATTCACGGTGACATTACAGGATGTTTTCCAAAAATTACACCAGAGTACGAAAAGCATAAACATAAATGGAGATTTTATTTATCATTTTATATTGTAATTATCATTTAAAAGCAGTTGGACTAGATAAATATGAGCAAAACAAAAGTAAAAATGATTAAACAAAATCCATGTAGAAGATCAGGTTGGAGTGCTTCTGGACAGCTGAGCTTATTGAAAAACAACAAAGCACTCTTGTAAAAGAATAATACTTCACAAATGTATATTAACTTTTTTAAATTGGCTTATAAATATTAACATTGACATCGAAAATAAAAATAAAACATCTGAAGTGTGCAAAGTAATATGGGGAGGTGCATGTTTGGAATTATACTGAGAGAAAAATAGGAACACATGGATGAGAGCACATGCAAGTTAGAGACATAATTTTTACGGTGAATAAAAGTAAGGGCTTGGGCCAGACACATTGTTAAAAGGGGATCATGACCAGTTGTCAAGACTAATAACACAGTAAGTGGCAGCCAAAGGAGAGAATACGCCTGAAAGGACATCTCATGTTTAAAAAAATGTTGGTGGTGGTAGCAATGGTGCTTCTGACTGATATTTAATGGTTGTAGTATTCTGGGATTCCAGCCAAATGAACAACTGCAATGTTCCTTTTCTTACACCTTAAATGTTAGGTGCATATCCTTTATAACACCACTGACTCACATAAAGCATAAAGGACTGCAGCTTATTGCATTTGCTGTGCCGCTTAGAGGTGTGATGTTACATTAAATGCATTCACCTCACCTTTTTATTCTTGTGTTCCAGGAGAATGGCAAGTGAAGGTACTCTCCCTACCCAAAGCCCTGAGGGCAGTAGTGGTGATGCAAGGCTCTCAGGACATCAGCCACAACAGCAGCAACAGCAGCAGGAATCTGGTAAGAAGAAAGAAGCTAAAACGTCTGCAAAGACGGCCGCCAAGCTTTCCACAAGTGCTAAAAGGTGAGCTCAACCCAAAACAGCCGTTTCGTCCTTGACATCTTGTACAGATAAGATTCCATTGGCCATAAACTATCTGCAAGGTTATTACTAATAACAGTGTGTTGGAGTCACATGTGCGTGTCATGCACCATATTCAGGGATAACATTTTCCCTTTCTATGTGAATAGTCAGTGTGCTGATTCTCCAAAAATGTGTGCCTTATCGAGTGTCCTTCAGTTCATTTGCACTGCAGAATTTAATGTAATGCTGCGTAACTGGTCATATGTGACTAAATGGATTCCCTTGTGTTAAGTCATACCTGTGGACACCCGTGGAATTTGAGAGCTCTTTTCGGCCTCCCGATTGCCTATTGTAAACCTCAACCAGCAACCTTGGGTGATCAGCACACAACCACTAAACATGGAAGCACGAGCTGTCTCATGTCATCCCTTGCTCACATCGACTTATAATTTCACTGAATGTTGTTTATTTTCAATTAAATGATTGCAGTTTTCTGGCACTGGCTCATAAGATTGCATAATAAAAAATGTAAAATTCTTCATATATATCACACCGTTTGTAATACACTCACTATGAAATTTGTAAATAGCTGAAATAATTGAATAAACATTTTCCATTAACATTTTTCACGTTTGTAAAATACACTTGGTTGAATTTAGCACAGTGTGTGGATGATGGCACTAGTTTGAATGACCAAAATCTGCTTCCTGATAGACTTGGAAAAATAAAACATATGACTGTATTGAATAAGGTTATACGCATGGATCAACAAAGCAATTTATGGGTATAGAGTTCGGCATCATATTTTTAAAATAAGTGCAAATAATGAAGGTTTTAGTAGATGGATTGCATGAATTTAAGTTCTGTATATCTGCCAATACCTTAATAACTTGAATTCCTGAAATCCTGATGAAATATGCTAGCATGTGTGAAATTGGCACATGGACTCAGAGTTTGTTCCTTAACTTGTAAGTATCTTTTATTCATGTTTGTGTTGGCACAGTAGTGCCCATTAGCACCATATAAAGAATAGAGAACTTGGTTTCAGAATATTAACAAAACAATTAAGGTACACACAGAGAATATGAAATGGGGTTGACACCAGCACAAACACATTACAGATTACAGTGCAATGGAAACCTGTCTAACACGCATGTTTCAATAAACTGTTTCAATTAACTCTACAACCTTGGGGTCTTCCTAAACTCTGATACCCCTGTAAGAGAAGAAGAAAAAAAGTGGATGGGGGGAGTGCCTAAATGCCCTAATGAATGCTGTTAAGAATAAATGCCCACTGGAGGAGAAGTCGTGAAGGGGTTCTAGAGTATTGTATATTTCTTCAGTGGTGAAGAATAATTGTAGATTAAGAGCATATTTAACATTCACTTGTAGATGAGACAAGTGGCTTAAAATCCCTTTCAAAGATGGTTTTGTGTGTTATCTTTGTTTGCATTCTGGCATATGTGTTTGTATAAACACATGTACAATATGTATTATGTGAGTATTTTATACATGTAGTGCAGGGATACATTGTGCATTAATAAGTATATATATCCATTTCTACATATAATATATGTGAGTATGTGTATTACAGTGGTTAGCGCATTGCGCTACAAACTCGTTGGCTCGAGTTCGATTTCCGCTCATGGCCAACACCAGTAATGATTATCGGAACTGGTCTTGGGCCTCCCCTAGGTCGACTCAACCTCAAATGAGTACCAAGTGCGATGTGCAAAACATCGCCACTGGGGAGACAAAGGCAGTTGGGCATGGTGCTGGCCACCCACCCCCTCGTGTATCATGCCTGCCGTCATCGGTGGTTGCTAACAGTTCTTGCCCTAACAGTATTTGTCTTTGTCTCAGAGTAGTGCAGTAGTTAGCTCAGTGTGCTACAAACCCAGCAACCCGAGTTCCATGCCTGTTCACAGCCAACACCAGTGACTATTATCTGAACCAGGTCGACTCAGCCTCAAATGAGTACCTGGTGTGGTGTGTAAGCATCGCCACTAGGGAGACAAAGGTGGTAAGCGTGGTGTTGGCCATCCACCCCCTGCATGTTTCTTGCCAGTCTTCATAGGTGCTCTCTACATCTCTAAAAGTCTGTTAAGTATGTAAGGGGAATCTTTGTTTCGTCTCAGAGTATGAGTGTGTCCCAGGGCACTCTTGCAAATGAGACTCCTAGACCCATGTTCTCACCTGGTTAAAAAAAATTAAATGTACTTCATATGTGCTCATGCAAATTTGGAAGTTTATTATTTAAGGTTGTGAATGAATATCAAGTTTTATTGGAAAACTGACACCAAAATATACATTCTTGTGGAACACTTTACATTATTATTTTACACACATTAATATGAAATGTGCTTTCTGATGAACATAATTAAATAAAATACCAACAAAAGCTGACATAATAACCTATTTAAACAGCTCAGATGCATAAAACACTACAATAACGTCACAAATGTATTATGGCTATATGTGATAGTAGAGACGTGTTATTGTGTTATATAATTAGCACTGATTAATTATAGACAGCAGCAGCTATCAATGTGCCATTAAACTAAAAACTGGCAACACATTAGCAATATTAATATTTGACGTATCCAAATTCTAGTCATCAGTTTATTATTTTCTAAAAAGTATTAAACATACTGTAATGCTGTCCTAAAAATATATTAAACTTTGTTGTGTAGTAGTAAAATTGTTAATCTAAAGAATGTTAATGATAATAGATATGCATTTAACCCACACACAGCATGTATACACGACAAAATATATTTCTTAAATCCTGCACTTTCGATTATCATGGTTGAATATTTTTCAAATCTTTGATTGCACATTCTTCCTAAACACTTTCCTATTGAGTGACCTTGGGTTATTGGGTGGGATTGTTTTTAGCCTAGCACGTGGTGGGGTAGATGCTTAGGGCAATATTTGGCCGTACGAAAGTCTGTATTTACAAGAGAATACAGCACTGCATTTGTTAATGTATGAAAATTATTTCTTTATTATTAATTGAAAACTTTTTATTTAGGACTGCTTTTTTGTGTATCCTGTTGTCCCCTCCCCTGCATCTCCGATTAGCACAGTTGGCTAAGTAAAGTGCAAAGAAGTTCCAACATACATATATAATGCTGATTTCTGTCTCACTCATGTAGAACTTCAATAGGTACAGGATTTTTCTCCAAGTCCTCTGGTTATTCCCTCCACATATAAAAACATGCAATTTAGACAATTTGGCTGCTATACATTTCAACATAAATGCTGGTTTCTGTCTCACTCAAGAAGAACTTCAATAGGAACAGGATTTTTATCCGGGTCCTACCATTTCCCCCTCCACATATGTAAAAACATGCGTTTTAAAGTATTTGGCTGTAATACATATCAACATAAGTGACTTCATTTAGCTATCATTTTTGGCCAAGTCGCTTTTGAAAAATAACTGTATACCTCAGTGGGCCTTACCTGGTAAAATAAAAATAGTAGTTTGTAGCAATTGAAGTTGTTGGAATTTCTTTATCTCACTTTTAAATAAAGCTTAGATAACTGTCATCTCATGGATACAGCGACCCTGCACACTTGCCACTCACGCCTCCCCTATCAATCCAAATAATCGCTGGATGCCTAACTGCTGCCCCCTCATCCTTCCAGAATGCTCAGTACATGCTTTTAAAACCAATTGCTTGCATGTGGTTATAGGTAGGTATAAAATTGTGATGTTAGGTGTTAATCAGCATACAAAACTTAGTATTTTGAGATGTACCACAAAGTGAAGAAATATATTTGTAACCCCAAAGTATGCTTGAGTGTATGTTTTAAAGAAGATTTTAATTAAATAATATTCTGAAATTGAGTACTTGGACTGAGGTGCACTCATTTTGGTTTTGATTAAATGTGTCACATTTGGCCTCTTCAGAGATTGACATTTGTCTTATGCATTGTTTTTACAATGTGCTTTTTTAGAACGTTCCCAAGCAGGATACGTTTTTAGAAATGACGTGTACATTTTTTATACATTCTGTGGATTTTAAAAAAGAATTGTAAATTCAATAATTGAAGTTTCTTTCAACAAAATAGTGAATTGGTAAACCAATAATCATGTATGTGTATGTACATTGTGAGTGTACTTTATAATTACACGTTTATTTTCTTCTTAGAATTCAGAAGGAGCTTGCAGAGATCACCCTGGATCCACCACCTAACTGCAGGTAACCTAGCACCCCTCACTCTATGTGATGAAGTACTTATTAATGTATGCATTGCAAGGCTGTTGTGTCCCAAGTCATGGCATTCCACAGACCTGTTAAATGGTCAGTATTCACTTTGGTGGGATATGTTAATAATTTATCCGTTTATTTTTTGGCCTTGATGCATAAATTGTTTCAGTTAGGCTGCGTGCTAAAAGCATTGAGTATTAAATATGGTTTACATTTTCATTTAAAATATTTATTGCATACAGCATAATGATCCCTAAATTAATTTCCACAGAGTAAAACAAATATACTTATGTGTGCCAGTAAATGTCAACGAATATGAGGAGCTTCATGTGTAAAATTTCTAGTTGATTGGATGAAAGCCTAACTATAACAATAGTATGTGTGTAGCCAATGCTCTTGCTGTTATTATCATTACCACCAAAAAACATGGTTAATCCACTGCTTGATGAAGGCCTGAGAAATCCACCACACAATCCTGTGATGTACTAATCCACCTTACCACCTGCACACGCTCTGATTTCATTGTTCCATCTCTTCGGTGGACATCCTCATGGATGCATTCCATTTCTTGGCTGCTACGCCATAATTATTTTTGATTATTAGCCATAATCCCTGAGAGCAATGTGTTCTAATAATTTTAAAGAATTCTCTTCGTTCAATCAGCAGTTTTGCATAAGTCGCTTTTCATGTCTCCTCAATGTCTTATTTCAATCAGTTTGCCCTCTTTACTTTCTAACCTTACCTCCTTTCAAACCACTAATTATGAATGTTGTGAATTAATCAAATAAAATTGTGACACGATAAATTTTTGATCTTTAAGTTTTTGAATCTGTTGCTTAGAGGCAATGGCGGAGCCAGGATTTTCAGGTAGGGGGGGCAAACCCTGCAGCAATGAAAAATGATAGGAGTTGTTAGGAAGTAAGGACTTGTCCCTTGCTTTTTATTCGACGCGTGTGCGGCAATGGCGCAGCCATCGATCGAGGGTCAAATTCGAACCGTGTGTGATCGGCATCGCGCTCGCTGAAGGTATGCCTTCAGGGAAGTCGTGTACTGTATACGCAACTGCACACAATTCTGTGAGTCACTTATAACTGCTTTGCTGTTACCTATTGCCAATTATGGACTCGGACTAGTGTCCTATCATCTCATACACAGTGGCAGTGGGGGTCGCAAAATGCCGATTTATTACTAATAAACCCCAATGATCCGATCGAAATTAGGGATTTCAATCGGATCATTGGGGGGGCATGTGCCACCCCCCCCCCCCCCAATGGCGCCGCCAGTGCTTAGAGGTATCCTAAAATAATGTATTTAATATGAACACATTCCTGTCTGTCATATCAATAATATTTTGCCTTAATTGAATATGTTAAAAGTGCAATGTGAAATCCAGGACCAATCAAGTGAATATTAGCACATTATTGGAATGGTTTTATATGTAGAGTGTATATAATTGGGATCATTTATGCACATTTGTGAGATCTCTCTCACACTTCATATGGCTATAACAATAGTAGAACTATTGTAAGTTTCTCAGATGATTGTTCAGAAATGTTTGCCACCGAATGATGGTCAATTGTAGACATAATCAATGAACTTACCAAAAAATAGGTGTCTAATGTTGGCTTCGGTGGTGAACACACCTTTTGCATTTGAGTTTTTAACCATCTATTATTGCTGAATGACATTCACTGTAGCCCTCAAGTCATTCAAAGAAAAAATAGATGAAGGTCAGTCAATTGGATTCATCGAAACAGATGCAGTGGCCACCGCACTGCAATTGTCTTGAGCCATGTGTGTGTGTAATCACCACAATTTTTTCTCCAAAAGACTCACCTGTTTTTATTTGTACCATGTGCTCCCTTTCTATTTTGCTGCGATATGTTTATTCAAAAAGCCGAATAACAGCTTTCTGCAGAGTGGGTTGAAACTAGAGGGTTGTAACTAGAATAAAATAATTTTTTACGCATTGAATGAAAAAATTGTGTTTATCAGTTTGCCGTATTAATGTCGAGCAACAAACATAATATGTTTACCTTTTAACAAAGACATTAAGGGAGCTGCTATGGGGTAATGGTTATCACACTGGACTTGCATCCAGAGGTCGCGGGTTACATTCCATGTCCTGGCATGGCAGTTGAAACTACGATGAAAGTTTATTAAATCCCCCCCCACCCCTGTCCACCCAGCAGTATAAACGGGTATGCCACACATAGTCGATCTGTATGTCACATATGGTAGGGTAAAACGTGGGTACTCCCACCTCATTTCAGAATCAGAATCTTAATTCAGACTGGATGCCTGCTCAGCTTGAAAGAATGATTAAATATCCTCTCTTTTGGAGGCTTGTTCGCCAGCAGTGGCGTGAGCAAGCAATGGCAGGGTGGCACCTTTTTTAACTGAGAAATGAGGATAAATGTATTCAGGCCACCATTCGGTTTACGCATGCCCGTCAGTGAATGCATGTCTATCATTACACAGTAAACCGTTATCGGTCCCTGACTTTTGAAAACGGTAGTCGATTCTGAACATGATTTACTGGTTACCGTTTAACAACCTTAATTGTAAGCATGTATATTTATACATTAAAGGAAAGATGACATTACGATTATGGATATTTCCTCAACCCATTCACTCTGTAGGTTCTTCATTTTAGGTATCTGCATCCTCACTTCACAGAAACACAGGATTGGCTAATGGTTATTAAATATTTTTAAACATTGCAACATCTATGAACACTACGTGAAATCTGTTTTAATTTTGTGACCACAATGAAGCCCTTTTTGCCAAGCTTTGGATTAACATGTGGATGTAATTTTGAGTAAACCGTTTAAAATTTTGTGTAATTGGTTTTCGGTCAGAGTGGCCTTTAAAAAGCTAGAGTAGTGGCGTGTGAGTTATCTGCAGAATAAATAGCACATCATAAGGCCAGTGCTTGAAACCCTCCGCTCAGCAACACGATGCTGGTAACATGTGTAACCACATGTAGTCTAGGTTCGGACTGTCTCCCATGTAAGAAGCAATAAAAAACGATTCAAGTGAATGATGGCTGAACATTCATCCATCGAAGTGACAGTTGAATACAGAGAAAATATATAAATTATATTGATCAATAAGGCTTTCTGCTGTGTGTTTTATTCGCCAAACAATCTGTTTAATTGAACACCATCCATGCCAACAGGATGTACTTTTAATGCAATGTACTTTGCTCTCTTTTATTAGTTGGGTAACCTAATGCAGTACGTGTGGTCTACATTTTAATCATTGTGGCTTGTTTTTGGAGTGTATATTTCAATGATATTTAATTTGTGTCCGTGGAACTCACTATATATGTAAATTAGAGATATCATGTTGACTGTTCACCAAAAATTTACTTGGACAGGACACATAACTGGGATGGGCGAATAGCATATGGACAATACTGGTTATAGAAGGGTAACCAAAGGAGGGCACACGACAGATAATATAATCAACACGGAAATGGACTAATCAGATCAGCTCATGCACAGGAGAGATATGGGCTATGGCTAAGCCAAGTGAATGTGTAACTAAAATCCATCATTAACTTAATTGTGAATAGCAACATTAGCCTACATGAAAGGCATTCATCCTTTTATATTTTATAGCTTAGTGATAAGGGATATTAATGTTTAGTATATTCAGATCCTCATTGATGATAATGAGTGAGGCTGGGGAATATACCCTCAGTGTGTTGGGATAATTTCCACTGACAAATTAATATTGAGGTTTATTATGATAAAAGTGTTTACTTTACTGTTGCTGATAAAATTATAGCACTCATTCTACAAGAGGATGGGTAATCACCCCTATTTTTTAAAACACTATTTTAAGGATATGATGTGCTTTTTTCTGTGTATTTGAAATGTCAAATTGTAGTTTTCATTAATATACTGTACCTCGCTTGTTATCATCATTGACTTATCTATGGAGTTTTGTGTGTAAATGGTCCTTGTGGGTTTTCCCTGGGCTCTTCCGGTTTCCTCCCACACGCACAAGGCTGTTGAAAAAAAATGTGCAGACATACCAAGCAGGACCCTCGTGAAAATGTGTTGAGGCTTAGTGAGGCTTCCCCTGGCTAAACTCGTCACTGCCTTGACGTGACAAAGAAGCTCGTGAACCCTGTCGACCTGAGTAGCTGAATTGGATAGGTGCTGCATAGCAGTCGGGTACTCGACAGGTGAAACAAAATGTGTTCCCTTCATCAATCCTCTCTGACCAGCATGGTGAAGCATAGTCAAACAACCCTCCTATAACCGACACATCTCAATCATGATGATTACCTATGAAGCTCTTCACCGCATAATTTGATTAATTTGTATATGATATAAATGAGTACTCATTTTGTCTTTCTTTGAAGTGTGTTTTAATTATGATATAGTTTTTTTTCTTCCCACGAATAGAACAATTACACTTTTTCTCGCACTGAATCCAAATTCATCCATACAAATTATTGACAGTAAGTGCCGCGTAAAGTGGTTACCATGATGTGATAATTAACAGCATCAGCAGGTTGGTGAATTATCCACATTGCACTCTCTCTCAGTGCTGCACCCAAAGGGGACAACCTGTACGAGTGGCGATCCACAATCCTTGGGCCCCCGGGCTCCGTCTATGAAGGAGGAGTGTTTTTTTTGGACATCACATTTTCTTCTGACTACCCGTTTAAACCACCGAAGGTAACCTGCACAGTGTGCAGCACAACAATGCAATCTGCTCCCTGATCATATAAATTTCTCTGAAAAATGTATCGCAGTTTTAAGAAGAGGTTGACAACACACCTTATGCAAACCTTGTACAATGCTTAGTATATCTTAAGTATACGACATCATTAAACATGAGTTGTACTGTACCATCTGTTATTTTAGCACACACTCCAGTGCATACATTGTGATTAATTTTCTTGGAAACTATTTTGTAATTCTGTGTTCCTTTGTGCTACTAGGAATTCCATTGGAACTTTGAGACATGTATACTTGTGTAAAGTACAATATCAAGTAAATAAATAATGATAGTGATCAAAATTATGCTATTAACACTGCTGAATCCTTTAACATATATTGTTTCCATCAGGTCCAAAGTATTGTCCTGCAGGCCATATATGTTTTCACCATTTTCCATGCTTGGATTCAATTTCTGAAAACATTTTTACGGCAATATTCTCCATTCTGTAGTTACAGTATTATCATTCTGCACAGAAATGTTTCGTGAACATACACTCGGTACTTAAAAAAAATTGTATTTTTAATTTCCATTACAGTCATTGCGATCTGTCATTTCATACTCCCAATGACCAACAGGGCATGGGGAGGCCTTAATCCAACAATGGGTGGCAAAGGACTGCGCGTAATTATTTTTTTTCAACTCAATAAATAATTATCGCATTCCTTAGATATGAATTATTTGTAAATTGTTACTTAAAAAAGTCAAGTCACAGTCTCTTACTGGTCAAATAAGCAAAAGGTGCTGCTTATCTCCTTTGGTGGCCCAGAGTCGACAGTGAAACTTCTAAATTTCTACAGTGGGAGCCATTCTATCAAGATAATTACATCTGAGGACTTCCTAAAAAGCAGTCCTATTACTCTCTTTATGTTAAGTACTTATTAACATGTTCAGGTAAAACACAATGTATTTCATGTTATGGTGAACCAAGGTTATTTTCAAGACTCGGATCTACCACTGCAACATCAACAGCCAGGGCCTCATCTGCCTTGACATCCTGAAAGATAACTGGAGCCCAGCCCTGACTGTTTCCAAGGTTTTGCTGTCCATTTGCTCCCTGCTGACCGACGCAAACCCTGGTGATTTGAAACAATTCACAGCCTCCACAATACAAACGCTTTTCGTAATATTGACAATAATTCACACATAACTGCAAATATTAATCTTCAGAGCTCACGAGAGATGTTTTAAAGTGTGTTGTTTTTTTCATTTCAGCTGATCCACTGGTTGGAAGCATCGCCACCCAGTACCTAACCAATCGCGTGGAACACGACCGAATAGCACGTCAGTGGACCAAGCGCTATGCCACGTAACTGCCTGGGCAGGAAATGGACAGCAGCTGATTGGCTGTGTCTGCATGTTCATCTTATAAGTTTAAATCACAGGAAAGGGTACTCACAATGCTGAAATATTCTGTAATTGTTGTTTGACCAACTTTTGTGGTTTACAGTGGAAGCTTCAATTTGTTCTCTATTACTAATTGTTGCATAGATTTATTTGTTCATATGTTTCTCGTTTTTGTGCTATCTGCTTTGTTTCTGGGTTTGAGGGATTGAGTGAAGGTTTTGTCGTTTTTCCTCAACATTTACTATCTCTATTAAAAACCAAATTCATATCACATTTCATACATCATGTTCATGGTAATTGGGCAATCAAAAGTAACAAAATAAAATGGATCGACACTTTGCATGATACATATGATTATTTAGATCCTATTGAATCTTCCATTCAACAAAATATATGGTGCTGGCATCACATGCCTGTCATCGCAGTGCTTTGCATATCTAATTGGTTTATAGCAGATCTCACGTTAAGATCATTCTAATTTCACATGTTACATTCATATTCAATTCGAGACATTATGTTTTACTTCTTAATTGGCTCCAAATTATACTTTGCTAAGTGATTGCAAATATGTTTTTCTTTCTAGATATCGTTTTACTGTCCTGGGGAGTGCCTTCAGTGGTATAAGAGGTAGGGTTGATACATTGTCTGTAATCGGTGCTTCAGACGATGCCTTGGATCAACCCTTTTCAGGTCATACCAATCGTTAATTTTCAGTGGTTAAAAAATGTATACCTAATCATTGCTGCCACGGTTCCTCAGTTTTCATTGTTAACATGGAATTGTTGTTTACCTCTTAAAATGTAACCAACTTTGAAGTGCTAAAATGACTTTAAGAAAAAAATAGTGTTGAATGGTGGTGAACACTGCCTGGACAGACTGTTAGCACCTTGATATCATCACACATAAGATGTGAGGCCCTGAAAGATATTGTATCAACGCTATTCACTAGGGGTGTTCATATCCCAGGGACTTTATAGGACTTCCTCCTCACCTGCTGTCTTAAACACTCTGTGTACACGAACTTAAACATTTAATCTACAAAATGTATTGGTGTAAAAAAAACTGTACTTGAAACATCTAACATTAGCTCCACAATTTGCCCTGCTTAAATTTCGACATTTGGTTTCTACCAATGTCACCGCTCAATTGTAACACATTTCCTCCTGACCTTCACAGAAACGTGCACTGCACTGCAAATGGAGATGTTGCACCCATTGTGTATATCATTTCAAATGTGACGAAATAACTAGCTCTCGTTTATGCAATGGGGAATGAAATGCATTTGTATCCCTAGAACTTGGCTTTGGTTGAATAATTGTTTCGTTTGTTTGTCAAGTTTATATATGGTATTAGTCCAGCTGGGCTCGCATTGGTTGAATAAGTGTGTTACTTATTTAATCAGATTTATTAAAAGTAGGGAGCCTAACAATCCAGTTGTTTTTTTATATTTCTACTTATTAACATGTGTATTTAAATGGTCATAAGTAGAATATAACAATGGCTAGACAGTCTAATGGTTAGCATGCACACTTATTGTTCCAGTGTGTATGGGTTCCACTCCAATCCCTGCAGCCAACAAATAATGTGGCCAGGATTTAACATAGCTTACTATATAAAGTGTACATTTAATAACTCTGGTATATTTCCCGACAATAGATGATTCTGTGTGGCATCATAGCCCAATTAAATTCAAGTCCAAGACAAGCCAATGTTGGTGACCCTGAGTAATTTGTGGCAATTCCACGTTCCTATGGCGAGGCATACATCTTCATAGGACAACCACTTGATATTCCATGATGTGGTACCTCACTAAAATTGTAGATATTTAATACCATGCAAATATTAACGGTCTCTTGATTCTTTTGTATTATCCCAGATTTACCTTGCAAGAGAGATGTTTCAACTTACTTGGTTTAAGTCCATTGAATTGACATTTGCATGAAAATAACACGAGCCAAGTCCTCATTAGGTAGTCTGGCTCAAGAATTACGAGCTTGATATTTGTTTGAAGTTAGAAAGATAATTGGTCTCGACAATAATTGTCGAGGTAATGTTTCATTACATGTATTTGGTTCGTGAAAATTTACGTAAAAACAATTTTGGAAAAAAATCTTTCATAACCATTGTTTGGGGATTTAAACTAAAAGGATACTTTTTTCGTATTTGTGTTGAAGAGCCTCCAAAAACACAATTTATAAAAAACAAATATAAGCTGGCAAAGTTGCTAAATGTGTTTACAATGTTTCCTATGAAAAACAGTACAATAGGTGGAGTAAACGCACTTGTTTGATTCATAACGGTCAATAGTGTCTGTTTTCAACTGAATCAAAGAACCAGGTATAAAGATTTTTCATTAAAAGGAAGTTTTTGCAATGCACATCACATTTGCTTTAAAATGGCATATATAGTAACGGTAATGCTATAACAAGTATATATAACGGTCCTTTACTATGAATGCTTCAGTGGATGTTTGTTTAAAAAAAACTGTAGAGAAATAAATCATTTGTGAAGCGCACAACTCAATGGAAGTGATGTATGGTGCGAGTTTCTATGGGTCAACGTCATTCATGTGCTTTCTGTTGTGCAAAGTAAAAGTATGCTGTAAACAGTAACTCTGTTATTTAGTCTTGTTACTGGATGCATTATGCTGATGGCAGCTTCACATAAAGTGTAATCTAGCTTGGGGTTCCCCAGTTGAACAATTGTGGTTGCGTGATTAGCTCTACACTGTCGCTACACTGATACTTTGGTGGTATGAAGCCTCTTGCCGTATATATCACTTTTAGCACATTACACTTCTGTTTTCTTTAATATGTATTACTATATTGTAAAGGTTGAAGCTGACAATAAAGTCTCGCCTAATTCAAGCACGTGGCTTGAGATTTTTTCATCTTAACAGTTTTCATCATCGGGAATGTTCTATCCATTATCCACTTCTGAATGAAGGCCTCTCCACGTATCCCATGTTTCCATGATGCCACTTCATGTTTCGCTCACGCACAAGCTAATCTCATCTCCATTGTGGTCAACCTTTTTGGCACAATCGCGCCTGACTGCCACTGCAATCAGTCCAAATAAACTTTTTAATAGTAACTATGTGGTGCCATGGCCTCGAAGCTACTCTGCAGGCGCCGCGATCCCCCATCCCTGACCAACACACTGAATACACACACATCGCACACACGTAGTGTCCTGACGTTGGGTCGCCAGGCAGTCTGGTTTTTTATCCAAGAATTCCTCTGGGGAATGTCCAATGATTTCCCGATGCCGTTTGGCTTGACCCAGCAGAACAGTTTACACCACAATGCCCCTGAATTGACTTAATAGTGTATGGGTGCAAACATATTACCAGGTCAGCTGTGATGAGTCATACATTCCTGAATACAGCATCGGGGGTTGGGGGGGGGCAGAGTGAAAAGCGTGCGAAAAGAAAACAATAGGTCAGGGGAGCTCTGCACGCAGCGAAGAAGCAAGCCTGGCATGTCACAGGTTGGCGCACGATTGGCCACGTGGTATCACGTCACCCAGGTCCTTTGAAGTTGGATATCAAAAGGTGAAACTGGGGAACGAAGGGAGATCTCGTCTCCTACATCTGGGCCGTGAAGATCTTGGTCAGTCCTCTTTTCACCACATCATCCGTGTGATGCCAGTGACTGCAACGACGAGGTACGAGCAATAGAGCATGGTCCCTTAGGGATGACGCGAACCAAGGGGGCCCAGTTACTCAGTCGGCGGGTGCCAGGCAATGGCAGATCATTGACGATCTCGCCGCCGAGAAGGTCCAGCGGTACTTGACCAGCACGGTGTGGCGGCAGCCAAATGTGAACTGCCCTCGTCCCCCATTTAATACCCTTGTCGAGCGTGTGTTAGAGATTCGCTCATGAGTGCGCACAGTTCCGAGGGTTAGGACGGGAGCGGACCATCGCAAGCATCCTTCCAGAGAAGGGAGAAGAGGAGGAGCTCGCCAGGGCCGTAAGAAGGGGGACAAGGGAGCCCCCGTGAACCTGCGAGGCCACCTCGGGATGTGTGGTAGGTTTACAGACCCAGGATAGGAGATGTTGCAGGGAATGTTACCCAATTACACGAGAATGTGACCAAGCTGTAGTCCACAGTGGAGGTAGTCCAGTCGGGAGGATTAGGCTCTACTATTGGGGGGCTAACCGGGCGATTGTCTCAACTGGAGACAGATTTCGACAGATGCGCATTGGGAGGGGGAGGGGGAATGGGCAAGGGGCCTCTTATGGAGCTACCGCCCTTCCCCGTGCGTGCTACCTGTGTGACCGATGGGGGCATCTCGTGCGAGACTGTCCCCAGATCGCCCGCACTAGGCAAAGCGCCAGGGTTAAACCCTAACGCCCCCTAGATAGTGGACCACCTAGGGGTGCAATTGACGCAGTCCCAGCACAAGTAGACAATAATAATGGCGAGCGAGTGACCTCCAAGCAGATACCTACAACAACACCTGAGAATGTGGCGACTGCGGGTAACTGGCTGTGGGAGCTATTGGCAGGGATCACGGGGGCCACGTCGCTGGTGGAAGGGCAGGTGAACGGGTGGCATACCCAGATTTTTCTGGACACGGGAGTGGTAGTCTCGCTCATGAGCGCAACACATTGCAGCATAGTCGGGGTCGACTTTGGCCGCCTACAGGCCCCGGACCGCGCGTTGTACACTGCAAGTGGACCTGGAATGGGCCTACTGAGGAGAATCACGTTTGAGGTCTGCCTCGGACACCAGGTGTGTAACCAGGAATATTAAGTGTTGAGTGTGTTATGCCACGAGTGCATTGCAGGTACTAACCTCCTGGAAAAGTTGGGGCTCAATGTGCAGCCCCACCAGCAATGCTCCACCATAGAGGGTAGCGGGGAAAGGATCCCGTTTCTGGAACGGGAGCTGGATCACCTTCACTTCGAGCCCGGGGCCGCCACCCTGGTGTCAGCCATTACCATTGGCCCCCTCGCTGAGATGTTGTTGCCGCTGGTGACGGCCCCCACCGACCCCTCTCACTGACAGGTGAGGTAATGTTAACTCCTCACCTGGAGTTGGTAGTACGGTACAGGATTGTGGCGTTGGCTACGTTGGTGAACGCTGATGGGAGCCAGCTGTTTCTGCGAGTCTTTAACCCCCACAGTACCCCAGAAAAGTTGCGACGGCGCACCCCAGTGGCAACAGTGCACCCACTACAGGCGCACCACTCAAACAACTCTGTGTTCGCCCTGTGGAAAGACGACCCTAGCCCCCCGAGGACAACCAGGACCGGGCGTGGCAGGTTGGCCCGACTCCCCGAGCTGAGGTTGTTCCCTTGCTCAACGCACTCCAGGTACGTGGGAGGAATTAACCAAGGTGGAGGCCGATCAGCTGCGGGAGTTGCTGTGGGAATACGCCAACGTATTTAGTGAGCATAATTCAGATGTTGGCTGGATGGACCTCGTCAAGCACCAAATTGACATAGGTGCGGCCCGATCCACTAAGTTCCTCGCTTACTGAGTGGGTGCGCCCGAGCGGGCCCAGATCAAGGAGGTGGTCGCGACTATGCGTTGCGATAACATAATCCAGCGCTCATCGAGCCCCTTGTCCACCCTGGTTGTGCTAGTGACAAAAAATGATGGATCGACATGTTTTCTGTCGATTATCAGAAACTGAACACGGTTACTCTCGACGGTGCCTTCCCCATCCCCCGCATCGATGACACTTTTGACAGCCTCACGGGGGCACGATATTTCTCCACCCTAGATCTGGCATCCAGGTATTGGCAGGTGGAAATGGCAGAGGAGGATTGGCCGAACACTGCATTGACCACCCCAATGGGACTGTTCGAGTTTCGTGTGCTTACATTCGGACTCACTAACGCACCCGCGACATTCCAGCGGTTGATGGAGTTGGTGATGCGAGGCTTGCAGTGGGAACAGTGTTTGATTTATCTGAATGACGTGATAGTGTTCAGTAAATCCCTGCCCGAACACTGATCCAGGTTGTGGGAGGTGTTCCAACGACTGCGAGCGGCCCATCTAAAGCTCAAACCACATTTCATCCTAGACATCGATGCCTGCAGCAGTCGGTTGGGAACAGGAGCCACGGGGGCAGATGACCCGGTGGCTGACACAGCTGAAGGAGTATAATCTGCAGATAATAAACGAGATGCAGACCGAGGTCCCGGGGGGCTGCCCAGCGGGCACGGACCCCACACCCATGGGCCTGGTGGGACACTCTGGCCAATCCAGCTGGATCCAAAAGGACATTGGCTGCGCATTTCCCGGCTTGGACAATGAGCAACTACTACAGGCACAGCAGCAGGACCTAGGCCTGGCAGATGTCGAGGCGGCCCTTCAGGGTCCCTGGAGTGGGTTGCACTCCCGGTTGTGTGTGAAGGATAGGGTGGTAAGGGAACTAGCCAAAGCCAGGCAGCCGGGGTGTATTTGTGTTCTCGCCCAGGTGGGACCCCAGCTGCTGTGGCTGGTGCACAACCACCTGCTCGGGGGCCATGACGGGGAACGGCGCACCCGGGAGACCTTTCATCGCCAATACCTTTGGCCGAAGACATGGCCAACTGGGTACAGGGCTGCCATGCTTTTTAACAGTGTGGGCAGAAACTGGCACGGTATCAGGTACCCTTGAGGCCATTCGACATCAGCCGAGCTAACCAGCTGGTCGGAGTCGACCTACAGAGGCTGGTCCCACGATCCCACTGAGGCAACCGATAAATACTCATGGCTGTGGAATATTTCACTCGTTACCCAGTGGCAGTGGCCATCCCAGATAAGACAGCCCTTGTGGCTTGTGGTCGCCTGGGCGTTTATTGAGCATTACGTGCTTAAACATGGGATTCCCGAATGAGTCATTACAGACCAGGGTAGTGAGTTCGAGGCAGAGTTATTTCAGGTGCTGTGCCGGGAGTTCGGAATCCAGAAGGACCGAACCACAGTGTACCACCCCCAGGCAAATGGTATGGTGGAGCGCATGAACCAGACCCTGGCCAGGAAGTTCCAGCGCATGGCAGCCACCAATCACCTGTATTGGGATGAACACCTCCCCTACACCCTGTTTGCCTAAAACACCATGGTACACACATCGACTCGGCATTCCCCCGCCGCAGCCAGAGGAGGGGAGCCAGCCCGTGGATTACCTGATGGAAACCCTGCGTGTGGCCCATTGCCGGGCCTACCAGCATGGGGAGGCCACCCACCAGCGGCAAGAGCAGGGCACCCGTCCCCATGTGGAGCCCCCCTTCTACTCGGCGGGCTCTAAGGTGTAGCTGCATACCCCGCGTGTGGGGCCCGGACAGGTGGGGAAACTAACCACCTACTGGCGAGGACTCTGGACCGTGGTGTGGCAGATCTTCCCCTGGACGGTGCTAATTCAAGGTGGGGGGAGGGGTCGGGAGACGGTGGTAAATATACGCCGATTGAAACCCTGGAAGGCGACCCCTTCCAGGAAGGTGCCTGCCTCTCGTGTGCCCTCCATACCTGACGGCTTCACTCCATACATGGGCCCCGCTAGGCCTGAGCCTCCAGCGGACCCCGGCCCAGCAAGGAGGCGGTGGGCACGGTGGCACCTAAACCCCTCCGCACCTGAGTTTGTTCCCCAGACAGGTGACGTTGGAGAGCAGGAGGAGCCTCTGGAATGGAGGCGGAGACCACCACCGGGGCCTCGTGAAGCTGAGCCATTAGCAATGAGAACTGGGCGGACCCTGCGGACTCCGCGGCGCTACCTGGTTGGAGCGACCCAGGCGAGGTGCTCCAGTCAGCCCGGGACGGGGACAGGCACCTCGGGGGGCTATGTGGTGCCACGGCCTCGAAGCCACTCTGCACGCGCCACGACCCCCCCCCCCCCTGACCCCACACTGAATACACACACATCTCACACACAT